TATTATTCAAAAAAATATAATATAATATGTACTTTAATATATAATTATATATAACATAAATAGTAAAAAAAATATTTAAAAAATTAGATTAAATCACTTCACTTCCATTGAATCACTTAAATTTAAATATTTTATTTTATTATCGTCTTTTATTTTACTAAATGATTTTTTCTATTGCTCAATAAATTTGGCAAACTCTACCGTTATATATATATATATATGTTTATTTGGAATGTAAATATTAAATAATATACTGATAAGAATTCTTAATTTTCGGCTGTCAAAATTAAAAGACCAAATATTTTTCAACCGACATTCGTCAATTGATGTTTATTTAATTAATCACACAACGTTTCGACCACGGTGTTTCGACCATATAATTTTGGTCCTTCGCACACTTAACAGTACACTTAAGAAAGACAAGAATTATATGAAACGTTGCGTAATTAATTAAATAAATATTAATTAGCCTATGAATATATCGGTCGACAAATATTCAGGCATTCAATAATTGTTTTTAAATTTAATTATTAAAAATACAACATAATAGTAACTTTGTTTATTTATTATAATGTGTATTCTTCAATATATTTAATTGCATTTTTAAATATAAAGATTATATATATAATATATATTCGTGATAGTAACAAACAAATTTGATATTTTTCTATCGGTTCTTTTTCATAAATAGCATTGAAATCACAATTAAATCTTTATAAAAGTAAAAACATGCCAAGTCACATATAAAGCACAGTCGTCATTGTTTGTAAATATGCTTTCGAAAAATTGTTCTACAAAATATTAAAAAAAAACTTAATCTATACATACATACGCACATCAATGTTTATTAATTGCATATAGAATACACTTATAGAATTATGCAATATACATATTGGAATCAAAATTTGAAAAGAAAGAAAGAAGAGAGAATATAAATTAAATTACAAATTAAAATTGACTATTATATTTTTCTTTTTCTGATTAAAGTATAAAAAAAAGTGACATATATATACTCATGCTTTGAATTGTACACTTTAATAAATTTATTAATTTGAAAAATGACTTGTGCAATCACATTTTTTACTATCATCAAAGTTTGCTGTGTGTTATCTAAATAAATTAATGCAAGAACTGTAGCGTCATCTTATCTGCATTTAGATAATAAAAATATGTATTATCTTTATATCTGCATCTTACAAATAAATAAAAAAAAACCACCTTTACTATATTATTTATCTAAAATAATATTCAAATAATTTTGGTTAAAATCATAGCACATAAAAATACTTAAATCAGACAGTAAAGCGATAAAAATTTATAAATAAAAATATGTATACATATATTGTTGTATCTTTTTCATAATTTATATTTCTTGTATAACTGTGTTTACATAAGCAGTCTTAATATTATTATCTAAACAATTATTTAAATAAATCGTCATATAATTATATCTCTTATCTAGATACACTTAAAACAAAATCATCTTTATCCTATCTAAGATTAATTTACATACTTTTATCTCATCTTTATCCAGCTAATTTTAAATTAATCTTGACACAACACTAACACTAAGTATCATTATCAAAAATTTATTACAATATTTTATGGTCGTATTTTAGATGGCCCTATGCAAAGAGAAGATATGAAAGTCTTACGGAAAAAGAAAAAGAAGAAAACCTAAATTTTGTTATAATAGGCATAAATTCTGCGACACAATTGCGAAATTATTTGTCTCAAATTTTTTTTATGATTATTATTACAATAATAGATCAAATCAAAATTACTTCGAGAACTCATTTACTAATGTATTGAAATTAACAAATAATTTAAAAGAATTCAGTGGTAATATCGATAAATATGTACATTCTTTGCCTGAAAGTCGATTATTTCCTGATCGTCCACATAAGCCTCTAAATGTGCTGAAATATATGTTTTATATTGAGGAGATTAAATACTTGTTAACACACAATTTCCACAGTAGGATTTTCATATATATTATAATGCTACTATTATTACATTTTAATGTATTTGTTCATTAGTTAATAATTCAATATATATAAATTTTTATCGGTTCTCTTTATTGTTTCTCTACATTTTTTTAGAGATCAGAGAAAAACATAGAAACTAAAACCTCGAATTGACATTTATTCACAAACATCTGCGTTGAGTTCGCATAGTCTGTTCATTCTGAATTTGCATTTAATCCATGGAGTTTTTATATTCTTATAGAATTTATATTTCTAAAATATATACACCCCGTATATACGCGCGAATAAAACTACATAATTTTATAGAATAGTCTTATATAAACTATGTACATACACCAATTATTAAATATTTGTATTGTAAGTCGACGATTTTATTTTAGCTGAGAATTTTATCTGTAAAGATTGCAAATAAAAAAAAAGTAAATCTCTCTTTTTCTCTTTCTCTCTTATCGAGAAATTTTGACAATGCACAACACTGGAGTTTTAAACTGTAAAATATAAATACATGAATATTATTGGTAAAATTTAATATAATAATTGATAATTTGAAATGAAATAATTAATTAATCTTAAATAATACAAAATATAAATACATAAAAATTAGTAAAATTTGAAATAACTGATAAATTTGAAAAAATTTATTATTTTAATTAAGCTTATATAGAGAACAATAAATAAATAAAAAATGATAACAAAATAAATAATAAATAAATTATTTACCACGTTCTTTCAAACGCATAGGAAGAAACGGTAATTTGCTAGTTCTAAATTACATTTTCTGCGCATGCCGTGGCAAGTTCTTATACCTATATCTTAGTGAAAACAAGCAATAATGCTTTAAAATTTAAGGTCAAATTTTATAATAAAGAACAGAACGTCTACAGTGTGGAAAACGTCTCTCGTGTACATCAAACACACATCGGTGCTCTTTGTAATCGGCAGACTCATTTCGTGTACTGCAAAAACAAGGAATTACGCGAATAGTTTATTGCAATTACTTTAATTTACATTTTATTTTACCTTTTTGTGTTTCGGTTCTCATAATGTCTGATTGGAAGATAACGTGCTTACCAGAGGAGATGATAAGCTACATTCTCAACGATAACGTACTCACTATTGAAGATATCATTAACTTTCGATGCGTGTGCAAGCATTTCGTTATGCAGCCACATATGACAAGTTCTTGAAAAAAAAGTTATCTCAAAGGTAATTCTTGTGGTTTGTAAATCTTTTTTTTTTTGTCTCATTAACGCCTGTCGCACAATGTATATCACTTCTGCGAAAAACGTATATTATAAATAAATAATTAATAAAAAATATTCGAAAAATTAGATATGTTGCATTTATGTTGTATATTAAATTATTCGCTTTCATTTTTTTTCTATTGCTCAATAATTTTGGCAAACTCTACCGTTATATATATACATATACAATAACATATATATATTTATATATATATATATATATATATATATATATTATGGAATGTAAACGTTAAATATAATATACTGATAATATTCTTAAGTTTCAGCTACTTAAAGATACTTACAATACATAAAAGTAACTTGTTTATTTATTATAATGTGTATTCTTCAATATATTTAATTACATACATACACATAAGCACATTAATGTTTATTAATTGCATATAGAATACACTTACAGAATTATGCAATATACATATTAGAATCAAAATTTGAAAAATATAAATTTAATTACAAATTAAAATTGACTATTATATATTTTCTATTTTTGATTAAAGTATAAAAAAAAGTGACATATATACTCATGCTTTAAATTGTATACTTTAATAAATTTATTAATTTGAAAAATGACTTGTGCAATCACATTGTTTACTATCATCAAAGTTTGCTGTTTGTTATCTAAATGAAAATTAAATAGTAGAACTGTGGCGTCATCTTATCTGCATATAGATAATAAAAATATGTATTATCTTTATATCTGCATCTTACAAGTAGATAAAAAAAGTACTACCTTTACTATATTATTTATCTAAAATAATATTCAAATAATTTTGGTTTAGAATCATAGCACACAAGAATATTTAAAGTAGACAGTAAAGCGATAAAAATTTATAAATAAAAATATAAATACATATGATGTTGTATCCCTTTTATAAGGGATCCTTATCTTTTTAGGATCTTTATCCAGCTAATTTTAAATTAATCTCGACACAAGACTAAGAATCATTATCAAAATTTATTAAAATATTTTATGGTCGTATTTTAGATGGCCCTATGCAAAGAAAAGATATAATGTTCTTAAAAAAACAAAGAATGGAGAAAACCTAAACTTTGTCACAATAGGCATAAATTCTGCGACACAATTGCGAAATTATTTGTCTCTAATTCTTTTTCATGATTATTATTACGATAAAATATCAAATCAAAATTATTTCAATGATTCAATTAATAATGTAGTATTGGAATTCATTATGTAAAAAATTCAGTGATAAATTCGATGAATATGCAAATCGTTTGAATGAAAATGAACTTGTTTTTAGACGTACACGTAAGCCTATAAATGTGCTGAAATGTATGTTTTATATTGAGGAGATTAAATGCTTGTTAACACAAATTCCACAGTAGGATATTCATATATATTATAATGCTACTATTATTACAAATTTATTGTATTTATTCATTAGTTAATAATTTAATATATATAAATTTTTTAGGAAAATTGATCGAAATTCAATCCAAGAATTTTGCAATATAAAATGTCTCACTATGAGAAGATATCTTCGATACGAAATGAGTTAGACAGATATATACAGAAACCTGAAAGAGAACAGCTTTTGGAAGAAACATGTACTTTCATAGCACAACGTATTCAACCTCGAAAAGATGTATGTTACACGAATGTAAGTGCATCATTGGATACAATCGCACAAGAGGTACTGACTGTCTCAGATTGAAGCATCCAAACCATTCGATATTCTCCACGTCTGAAGAAACTTTTTCCTATTGGAAAAGCAACAATATCAAGATAATCATTGGGATGAAACAGAAAGTACGCAGATTATGGATACACTCCAAGAATATATATTTAGCATCTTGAATTTTCGAGCATGTATCTCCCCATTTTCACCCAAAGATATCAAATGGATTTGTATAGATTATGTAAGTTATTAGAGATTATAATATATATAATTATGGGCCATATATGTATATATTATATATTGTTCTTAATATTCTCTCGCTTTGATCAATTTGTTCTGTATTATACCTGGCACAGGTATTACAAAGTAAATATGGTCAAGATATTGTTGTATATACAATATCTTGACCATATATACTTTGTAATGCCTGTGTTATCATAACGTGGCTAGAAGACTTGGTCTACGTTGCGATCTAATAGATGTTTACACTGAAATCTGTATATTTTGGAAATCAAAATTGTTAGTATAGTTATATATTAGATTCGACATTATCATTATTTTCGATAATCCTTCTTTTTTTATATACGCATACATATATAATTTTTTATTATAAAAATTTTCATATGATTAAGAATATTTTAATTGTTTACGTCACGAATAATTTAGAAAATGAACGATGTTTTTACATAGAAGACAAAAATTTCCCGAATTGTCTTCATAATTATCTACCAGGTTACAAGTCTTGTGAAACAAATCATGACGTCATCAAAATAAGAACTGAAAAGGTTGAAACTTATTTATTACTTCTATTAATTTTAAGTCATTAATATGCTTGTAAATTGACAAGCAATTAATAAATTACATTATATGTGTGTAGAAAGAAAAGATACGTACATTTCTCATTTCTTACATTATAATTAGATTCTTGTTTACATTTAATCTTTTTTTATGTTTAATTAACTTTTTCAGATGTTGGTCATGATAAAGATTTTGTTGAAACGTTTATATGGACACATAATAATCTATTTGGGATTAATGAATTGTAATGTGTAAAAACATACGCGCACTAACATAATCGCTAGTTAGTAAATAACATATACCATTGTAAAAATAAAGAGCATTGTGAGATATTTTCAGATAACAATTATGTATAATTTACAATTTTCTATAATTTAACGTGTTTTAAGTGTTTATTGAGGCATTTATTCACAAAAAAATCAAAGTAAAATTTACAGTTTCTGTCTTATTTTAATTAGTAGAACACATAAATGAAAACGTGAAATATGCTGTAGAAATTATCATAATATATAATCCACCTACAGATCAATCTACAGATTCGGACCAACATAATATAATAGGATGTTATTGACACATACATATATACATACATGTTCGACAATTGAGAATCAACGATGAATAAAATATAGCTATTATCTTTCTGCGATATTTATTGTATTCAATTATATAAATAATAAAGTAAGAAAATTTTGTGACTGCAACAATTTGAATTGGTGCAGAAGAATTAATAAATCTTGAAAATAAAAAATTAATTAGTTTAATTACTTTTTTTAACACTTTCAATATATGCAGAATGACGTAATAAATTTGCCATCTATTAATATCTATTATTTTGAAACATATATAATCGATAGTGTGTTGCATTTGTATAAGTATAAATAAGTATGTTAATAAAAGACAATGATTTTTATATTTTCAAATATACATAATTCTTTTGTATTGAAGGAGACGATAAAAGCTTATAAATGATATTAGATTTTGTATGATATTAGCATAATTTCAGATTTTGCAAAATGATCTCAATTTAAAATCTCAATTTTAATTCCTCAGTTTCCGATTCAGCGACTTTTGGACCGATATATTTTGCTTTTCTACATCTTTGTAGGGAGATCAAAAGGAACATAGAAATTAAAATCTCGAATTGAGATTTATTCACAAACATCTGCGTTGAGTTCGCATAGTCTGTTCATTTTGAGTTTGTATTTAATCCATAAAGTTTATATTCTTATAAAGTTTAGATTTCTAGAATATATACACCCCGTATATACGCGCGAATAAAACTACATAAAATTGTAGCATAGTCTTATATAAACTATGTACATACATCAATTATTAAATATTTGTATTGTAAGTCAAAAATTTATTTTAGCTGAGAATTTTATCTGTAAAGATTTGAAAAATGCAAAATGTAAATCTCTCTCTTTCCCTTTCTCTCTTATCGAGAATATTTCATAATGCACAGCACTGGAGTTGTAAACTGTATAATATAAATACAAAATTTATAAAATTTAATATAATTGATAATTTAAAATAAAATATTATTTTAATCTTAAATAATACAAAATATAAATACATAAAAATTAGTAAAATTTGAAATAACTGATAAATTTGAAAAAAATTTATTATTTTAATTAAGCTTATATAGAGAACAATAAATAAATAAAAAATGATAACAAAATAAATAATAAATAAATTATTTACCACGTTCTTTCAAACGCATAGGAAGAACGGTAATTTGCTAGTTCTAAATTACATTTTCTGCGCATGCCGTGGCAAGTTCTTACCTATATCTTAGTGAAAACAAGCAATAATGCTTTAAAGGTCAAATTTTATAATAAAGAACAGAACGTCTACAGTGTGGAAAACGTCTCTCGTGTACATGAAACACACATATGTGCTCTTCGTAATCGGCAGACGCATTTCTTGTACTGCAAAAAGCAAGGAATTACGCGAATAGTTTATTGCAATCACTTTAATTTACATTCCTTTTTGTGTTTTGTTTTCTCATAATGTCTGATTATAAGATAACGTGCTTACCAGAGGAGATGATAAGCCACATTCTCGACGATAATGTACTCACTATTGAAGATATCATCAACTTTCGATGCGTGTGCAAGCAATTTCGTTATGCAGCCACATATGACAAGTTCTTGAAAAAAAGTTTATCTCAAAGGTAATTCTTGTGGTTTGTAAATCTTTTTGTTATTTTGTCTCATTAACGCCTGTCGCACAATGTATATCACTTCTGCGAAGAACGTATATTATAAATATATAATAATAAAAAATATTAAAAATATTAGGTATGTTGCATTTATGTTGCATAGTAAATTATTCGCTTTCATTTTTTTCTATTGCTCAATAATTTTGGCAAACTCTACCATTTTATATATACATATATAATATACATATACATATATATATATATATATATATATATATGTATATGGATGTAAACGTTAAATATAATATACTGATAAGAATTGTTAATTTTCGGCTGTCATAAATTAAAAGAACAAATATTTTTCAACCGACATTTGTCAATTGATGTTTATTTAATTAATCACACAATGTTTTGACCACGGTGTTTCGACCATATAATTTTGGTCCTTCGCACACTTAACAGTAACATTTGAGAAGGCCAAAATTCTAAGAAACGTTGTGTGATTAATAAAATAAATATTAATTGGCCTGTATCGATCGAAAAATATTTAGTCATTAAATATTTTTTTTTAGATTTAATTGTTAAAAATTAATTTAAAGTAACTTTGCTTATTTATTTTAATGTGTATTCTTCAATATATTTCATTGCATTTTTAAATATAAAGATTATATATATGATATATTCGTGATTAAAACAAACAGATTTAATATTTTTCTATCGGTTCTTTTTCATAATTAGCATTGAAATACAATAAAATCTTTATAAAAGTAAAAACGTGCCAAGTAACATATATAAGCACAGTCGACATTGTATGTAAATATGCTTTCGAACAAACTGTTCTACAAATATTTGAAAAGAAACTTAACATACACACACGCACATTAATGTTTATTAATTCCATATAGAATACACGTATAAATTACGAAATATACATATTAAAATCAAAATTTGAAAATATAGTTTTAATAAACTTTTAGGAATATGTAGTTCAAAAATAAATATAAAACTAATGTTATTCATCCAAGTATGAATTTATTAAAATTAATACTAATATTATATATTTTAATTTTTCTGATTAAAGTATAAAAAGAAGTCACATATATGTACTCATGCTTTCAATTGTATACTTCAAAAAATTTATTAATTTGAAAAATTACTTTTGCAATCACATTGTTTACTATTATCAAAGTTTGCTGTGTGTTATCTAAATAAAATAAATGGAAGAACTATGGCGTCATCTTATCTGCATATAGATAATAAAAATATGAATTATCTTATATCTGCATTTTAAATAAAATAATATTATTTTTATTATATAATTTATCTAGAACAATTTTTAGATTATTTTGGCGTAGAGTCTTAAAAATACTTAAAGTAAACAGTAAGCGATAAAAATTTATATATAAAATATGAATACATATATTTGTTGTATTCTTTTTATAATTTTTATTTCTTATATAACTGTGTTTACATAAGCAGTCTTAAATATTATTATCTAAACAATTATTTAGATATATCGCCATATAATTATATATTTTGTCTAGATATAACTTAAAACAAAATCATTTTTATCCTATCTAAGATGAATTTACATACTTTTATCTCATCTTTATTTAGCTAATTTTTGAATTAATCTGACACAACACTAAGTATCATTATCAAAAATTTATTACAATTTTTTTTGGTCGTATTTTAGATGGCCCCATGCGAAGAAAAGATATGGCAGTCTTACGGAAAAAGAAAAAGAAAAAACCTAAATTTTGTTACAATAGGCATAAATTCTGTGATACAATTGCGAATTATTTGTCTCACATTCTTTTTTGATTATTATTATGACATAATGAATCAAATGAAAATTACTTCGACTTAATTGTTAATGTATTAACATTCGAAAATGTAATGAAATTCAGCGGTAATAACGATGAATATATAAATCAATTTATTGTTCCTGAAAGTACACATGAGCATGTAGATGTGCTGAAATATGTTTTATATTGACGAGATTAAATGCTTGTTTACACAATCTCCACGGCAGGATATTTTCATATATATTATAGAGCTACTATTATCACAATTTAATGTTTTATTTTATTGATTAACTTAATACTTCAATATATAAATTTTTTAGAGGAATTGATCGCAAATTAATCGAAAAATATTGCAATATAGAAATGTCTCACTATGAAAAGCTATCTTCGATACAAAATGAGTTGGACATGTGTATAGTGAAACCTGAAAGAGAACAGCTTCTGGAAGAAACTTGTACTTTCATAGCACAACGTATTCAACCTCGAAAGGATGTATGTTACACGAATGTAAGTGCATCATTGGATACAACAATCGCACAAGAAGTGCGGAATCGTCTCAGAGAGAAGCATCCGAACCATTCGATATTCTCCACGTCTTGAAAAACTTTTTCCTATTGGAAAAGCAACAATATCGAAGATAATCATTGGGATGAAACAGAAAGTACGCAGATTATAGATACACTCCAGGAATATATATTTGGCACTTTGAAGTTTCGACCATGTATCTTCTTAGCCGAAGATATCAAATGTTTGTGTATAGATTATGTAAGTTATTATAGATTATAATATATATAATTATGGGCCATATATGTATATGTTATATGTTGTTCTTAATATTCTCTGTCGCTTTAATTAATTTATCCTGTATTATACCTGGCACAGGTTTTACAATATAAATTTGGTCAAGATTTTATTGTATATACAATATTTTTCAGCGTGGCTAGAAGACTTGGTCTACGTTGCGATGTACGAGCACTAAAAATGATCGATCATTTCGATATATTTTGGAAACCAAAATTGTAAGTATAGATATATATTAGAATCAACATTATCATTATTTCTCGATAATCTTTCATTTTTTATTATACGCATGCATATAATTTTTTATTATAAAAATTTTCATAATGATTAAAGTAATATTTTAATTGTTTACAGCGTCACGGATAATGTAGAAAATGCACGATATTTTTACATAACAAACAAGGATTACCCGAATTG